TGTGTGTGTGTATATGTGAATGTGTGTGTGTGTGTCTGTGTGTGTATGTGTTGGAGTTCCCCCCATACCTTTCTAATTACAGTGTTTTCCAACAGATTTATAGGAATGATTCTCTTCCAGTCTTCTTGCCCTTTCAATTTTAAGAAGGTAATCCCCTCTTATTCACAGGGGAATTTGATCCAAGATCCCCAATGGGTGCCTGAAACCACAGGAAGGACCAAACTCTATATATGCTCATGTTTTCTCCTATATATACATACCGATGTTAAATTTGAGAAATTTCACCATTTTCCTTAAGGAAGAATTTATGGCGTCTCTTTGGTATATCTGAATTGCCAGCACCACTGCTTTTGTGCTTGTACTTGAACAGAACCACTGCAATACCAAGACAGTCCATTTGATAACTGAGACAGCTGCTAAATGACTAATGTGCAGGTAGCACATACATAGTGGATATGCAGAACAAACGGATGATTTACACCCGAGGTGGGATGGAGCAGGATGGTCTGAGATTTTATTACACTATTCAGAATGCTGTGTACTTTTAAACTTATGAATTGTTTATTTCTGGAATTTTCCATTTTATATTTTCAGACCATGATTGACTGTAGGTAACTGAAACCAGAGAAAAGCAAAACCGTGGGTAACAGGTATGATTATATTCATGGTTTTATTTCAAATCAGTTTGAAATTATTGTAACTAGGTTATTATTACCACACTTAAAATAGTCCTGAAAATCCTTTCAATCTTTCCTTTTGTTCCTCAAAATTATCAATTGTAAATTAGTATTAAAAGGGACAGTTAATCGTTCATGTCTCCTGCACCCCTCTAGCATCAATACTAAAGTACAACTTCTTCAGGAAGATTCAGTGTTGTTCCTAAAAAATGCCTTGCTAACAAGTTGACTTACACATAACAGATGGGGCTCCAGAAAGGGATTCCAAAATCCAACCTGATTTTGGAATATTTCACACTGGAATTTTCACATCAGTCTTTTCTGATGTCCTCTTGCCCAAACTATTTCAGGGCACGCTTTCCCACCCTGTGTCCTGCCTCAGGCCAGTCCTTTAAGAAGCCCATCTGGACTTTGTACAAGCTGTTCTCTCTGAAAGCTCTTCTCCCAGATCCTTTCTTTATTAGCTTCCTATCATTCAAGATCTGCATAAATGCCTCCCCAGAACAGCCTCCTCTGACCTACTGATGCACCTTTACAACATCCTAGGATTTATCTGAGTCATATAGTTTTTTTGTTTTGAATGTTTATTGTCTGTCTCTCCCTAGATATACAAATCTACATCTTATCTATTTCATGGATGAAGTCTTTAAGTCTTCATACTTCCTGAATGACTGTGCTCCCTTAGTTACTAAGCAGTTCTAAAAATGAATTGCTTGACCATATAACACTTGAAATTATGCACATATTTTACATAACAAGTTACATATTTTGTAACTTCATATTAATTCCAAGATATGATCATCAGAAGTTCTGTCTTATCTCAGAAAGATTACTTTTCTCTTCCGCCACTGTTTTCTTATATAAACTAATACTCGATTATGTTTACTATTTTGTTTTTTATATAGGATCACTGCCATAATCACTTATTTGAATGGTAGCTAGCTGTGTATCCTTTGAAAAATTATATTAGCATCTGTCTTGTTTTTTTTTTTTTTTTTGAGACAGGCCCTCACTAGTTAGCTCAGGATGGCCTTGAACTTGCCCCATAGTGCAGGTTAGCACTGAATTTGCTATCTAGCCTAGATTGGTCATGAACTTGTGATTTTCCTCCCTCAGCCTCCCAGGTACTGGGATTACAGACATGAAGTACCATGCCTCCTTTGATTAGCATCTGTTAAAAACATTCAACAAACATCACCCCATATCTATTCGATGTCATGTAAAACAAATTTAAAGGAACTTTTAGACTAAAAAATATGTTTTCTTTGCAAAATATGTATGTGTATGTCTTCACATGTTTTCCTGAACATGTCTTGCTTCCAAGAACTTTAAGGCAAACCACTTCAAACCCATAGTAATAAAGGTCTCTTAGCTTCTCAAAATCACCTATGTATTCTTTTTTTAGGCCAGTAAATCATAATTAAATCACTTTCAGGATCAACAAATGTGATAAAACAAATACACATGTGCAAAACTGTACATAGCAAGCCATCTGTTGGCATCTGCATAGAACTAGTTCTATAAAACCTATTAGATACCAAAATCCATGAATGCTTGTCTCTAACATAAAATGACACAGTGCTTGCATGAAACATATGCACATCTTCATCTCCAGATTACCTATTATATGAAATACAATGTAAAAGCCAGAAAAATAGTTGCTATACTATGTTGTTTAAGGCTATGGAAGGCCAAATGTAATTTCAGTGGGTTCTTAGACTCCACCAATCCTTATTAACCCATATTAAGAGGATCTGCTTTAGACTATTTTGTTGTCTTACTTTTTTCCTCAAGTATTTTCATTTGCATTGTTTTATTTGTGAGCAGTCTCTAGGACTTTAAGAAAGAACAATGTATCTGGCTTGGATTCAAGCAATTTCATCTTTTTATGATTTTGTCTTAGGAAAGATATCACATAATCTTGGAAACAATGTTGGGTAAGCCAGACAACTTACTTTTTTTCTCTTTATTCATTTCCAATGTCATGATTACACACAAAAGTTATACTCCCAAAGGGACTATATATAAAATGAAATCCATTTGACAACCTCCTTAATGTGTTAAAGTTTCCATTCCAATATTTAAGGTTCACATTAATTTTTGGAGTTTGGAGCAAACAGACTGTATGCCGTGTTCTTTCTCAAAGTGTCTGGTGAGTTGGATTCTTGGTAACACAGTGACAAATAAGTCTTCATTATTTTTGGCACTGATGAAATGAGTCTAGTAAGTGGTATTCCCAAACGAGCATATATCATTTTATTACAAGCATGGTAAACATTGTTGATACAGGTTCAAGTCTCGCTTTAGAACTGACCAATCTTATTATCAGGACTTTGAGTAAAAGTATGCTCATGATGAATTTCCCCAGTGTGACTGAACTCAAGTTAGTATACTAACTTATTTTTTAATGTATGTAATCATATTAAATCCAAACACATTTAACAGATATTTACCATTCTTTTTGTGCAACTTTAAATCTTAAACTTTCAAAGAAAATACATTTCTAGTTAATAAAATAGTGCAATCAAAACCTTTATTTTTCTCATTAGACTGAAATAATAAATCAAATGGGCAAGAAACACAGGAAGGGAAGATTTAGCATAAAACATTATTTTTCAAGACATAACGTTAAGGAGATTATGAAAATATGAACATTGCTTATAACTCAATGGCAGAAAGTCAATGCATTTACCTTTGAAAAGCAGAGTTATTCATTGCCTTCAAGCTTCGGTTTAGGACCTTAGGCTCAGAGTGGATGGTCCCCATACAGATGATCGTCTGGCTTTGTAATGAAAGAAAATGGAGGAATCTCTCTGGAAGGAAAACTTAGGTCATTTCTTTCTCAAGCCAAGTGTATGTGGAACACATTAATAGTTCTTTCCTTGCAGAATAAAAATAAAACAGATTCTAAATAAGATAGTCTGAATTATCATAAAGTCCAAAATAAGGATGAATATTTAAAGTCATAATTCATTTAGCTAGTGATACTGAACACCTACTTTGTTTAGGTGGGGATTTGCAGTCACTGTGTGCATGTTACATTTAGCCAACGACCACATTTTAATTTTTAATTAGGAGACATTGGCAGCATATAACAGAATGACAAAGCTACACAAATTCATAAAAGTCAAAGGAAGCAGCATCTTTTAGCCAAAGCAATAAATGTTCTGTGAATTTAGGGAATCAAGGTGTGTGCCTTGTCTTCCCCATGTTCTCCTCCGTGGCAGACTCTGTGGAAGCAACAACATTCCTCTGTGATGATAGGATACTGATAACACAGGGATAGCTGTCAAAACCAGAATGTGCATTCTTCAGTGTCAGGATATCCCCAAACATCAATGAACACCATACATAAAGGAACATAGCAAATTCCAACATAGCATACACACAACAAAATTAATTCATTTATCAGAGACAGATACAATTTTGAATATGCATTTTCTAGAAGGAACCAGAGGACAACAGAGACCATCTGCAGCTGTCAAACCTGTGGAAGTGAAACAATGCACTATGAAATTCACACAATACATGAATCATGAATGAAAAATAAATGCTTTATCAAAAGAAATTGGTTAAGTGGCCTAACATATTCGTATGTATATATTTATATATCGAATGATAAAAATCAGCTTGCATGAGGGTCATAGTATATCTACTTTGAAGTTATATCACACATACCATAAGCAATTTACAGAATTCATTCATCAGGTTTGCATATACAGGAAGTGCAAAATGAATTAAAATACACTGAAATATAGAACACTCAAAATGTACTTATATAAACCTCCCAGGATTGACAGAGATTGGCCATAATCAGCATTTGTCACCATTGCACAAGAACAGTAATTGAGAAAAAAAAAATCCAAGAAAAGGGAGAAGGTTTTTTTTTTTTTTAAAAACAGCTTTCTTTGCTTATTCCATATTTAAAATACTGTTGTCCTTGTTGAGGCGCAGTGTTGATAACTTTGTTCTTGCCCTCAAATGGGGATTTTGTTTGATGATGGTTTATGTTCTGTAGACTTTTGATCTCTGTTTTGCTTCTTGCAGATAATGGGTCCCTTAGTAGGAAATCAGTGGTATCCATAGTAAGTATTTACTATACCAATGACTTTCAGGCCAACCCCTGAGCAGTCAGTAAGATGATGATTTTATTCGCCGAAAGAAAAGAAAAAAAATAGATCTTCCTATTAGAAAATGTCCTATCACTTCACACTAATTCTTTTGAAATAAAAGCTCAGTGGTTTGCCAAAGAAAATACTAGCAACAAAGCGTGATAGCCTCTTCATTTATGCTTCTGGAAGCGGATGCTCCTTGTGTAGGTAACTAGAGTACAGGGGGTGCAGAATGGTGCTTGGAGTTTAGGGTCAACTTTGCTGTCCGCTCCGTAGATTTTACAGGCGATTTGCTCTTTGCTTTAAGAAGAGAAAGTGATATTGGAAAAAAGTCAGCACTTTAGATTAAAGCAAAGCACCCTTCACAAAGCCACAAACAAGAAGCAGGACAGAAAGTCCATGGCTTGTAGCTATCCTCGCACCTGCGGAAGAAGTTATAAGATATTCGCTCATCTTGAAGATTTCCAATGCTCCTTATTAGGCTGTTTTAAACACATACATATATATATTTAATTAGCTCGCCAGCTTGGCTCTGGTGCTCATGAATGTCTTGGCATGCACTGCAAATAACAACACATACAAAGTATTTCAGTCCCGGGAAGCTGGCGGTGTCTGTCTGTTTTCAAACAATGGCATCCTATGGCTCAGGACCTGGGAACTCTGACAGGAACAAATCCAAATACTTTTCCCCCAAGGAATGCCTTGAGGACCATTCCCTGGATGATCCTACATTGGTTGTTCCATTTTATGCATTAGCATAAAACCCCAGAAAAAACAGGAAACCCTGGGAACACCAGGCTTCCTGGGATGAGGACTGTGTTGGAGGTGGGCACATCTGAGCATTTACTTTTAGATCAAGTTCTTCCTGCATTTTTATCTTTCAAATCTGAGGAAGTGTTAGTGCTACCAAGCACTAGAAATTTTGAAAGCACTTCAATAATGGAAAGGGAAGAATTAAATCGTATTTTTGCATTTTCCTTTATATATTCTATGCTCAGCTTTTAGCTATGAATGACATACACTTGTATTAGTGAAAAACAAAAATGTGATGAAGTGCAAAGCATTTCTCTCCCTCTCTCTCTCTCTCTCTCTTTCTCTCTCTCTTCCTTTAAATTGGAGAATGGCTAAATGGATTTTGAAGGGTTAAGGATGGGGAAATTCAGTTTTGTCGATATTTCAGGTAGACCATGTTTGGCTCCATACTGGCAATGACAAAAACTGCAACAGAGCCAGGCATGGTGGTGCACATTGGTAATCCCAGCATTGAGGAGGCAGAGGTAGGAAGATCTAGAGTTCCAGGCCAACCTGGGCTACCTAATTAGATCCTATCTCAAAACACAAGAAAAAAATGCAGCACCATTCCTTGCCACTCAAAAAGTCACTGAAGAATAATTAATTTGGCTCTAAAATGGCCATTTAGGCTGACAGAGTGACTCAAACGGTACAGTGCCTGTTTAGCAAGCATGAGGCCCTGAATTCAAACCCCAGTACCACAAACAAAATGAAGTAAAATAAAATAAAACAAACAAAACGGCCATTTCATAGACTGCATTGCTGTTTATCTGTTAACTTTGGGGTTGTCACTGATTTGCCTTTCTGGTAGTTGGGCTGTATATATGTAAATATCTCCTCTCAGAAATCTAATGACCAAAGACCCAGAGGTCAAGTGGGAGTCTCTGAAGAGTGTTCCCATGTTCAAGTTGGGTAACAAGATTCAGAGATGCAAAAGTGACTGCTCAGTCCACATACAGCTCTAAGTACAGAGACCATGCAAAGAAAATACACACAATCTATGCAGAGCCATTAACTTTCCATAACAAGTATATATTCTTGTCAGCTTTTTGAAGAGAGATTCTTTGATCAGAATTCATTAGATGGAAAAAAAAAAGATGACAAATTATTACATGGCTCCCTAACTAGCCATGACAGTTGACTTGATACAAAATATGTCTGGTATTGAATAAAAGTTTTTAAAATGCTAATAGCAGTAAAACTTGTTAAAATCATTCACCCAAAAATATTTTGTGAAATAATAGTTCCCTTTCAGTACAAGCATTGCAGGTTGGCTCTAATTTGCTGAAATTGCACCATGTTTTATGCTGGCCTCTTCTCAATTTGTCAACCTGACATCCCTGACCCCATCACTCCTATAAGACAGTAAGGAAACAGCTGTTTCCTTTGGACTCAGCATTTCCTGTCATGTGTCTAGCATGTGCAAGTTAAAGTATAATTTACATGAGTATTTTGACTGAAAAGAAACCCAGTTTTATGCTGTTGAGAATAGTTTAAGGCCATGAAATTTTTTAGCAGCCTACAGATATATAATCCACCAATGCAATGTGGTACTTTTTTCAGATTATAATTTTTCATTCACTCTAGCTGCATGCATTTAGTAGCATATGTTAATTAAATGAGACTTATTTTGTCAGGACAATTATAAAGATTTTCTTTCTAAAGCAAATTCTTTCTAAAGTAAATACTAAAGCAAATCTGTATTGCCATTAGAGATCATGAAATGTTTTTTTCTTTGTTTTTTATGTCTTCAGTGAACAGAGATGTACTCCTTTCTCTTTGCAGCCCCCAAGACTTTTAGATAGTGAAATCTGAGAACCTAAAAGGTTATAATTTGTCCTGTGTAATTTTAACAATTAACTACTATTGTCATTTTATTCAGATTTATAGTATTTGCATAAAATATTATTCATCAAAAGTACTATGATTTATCATATAGAATTATTAAAAAATATTGTTTTTTTGTTGAGAGCAAACTTTGGCCACTCATCATGCTCTATTTCAGTTTTACATTTCACTTTTGTGAAACTGAGAGCCAGATTTGTCATCAGGAATCCTGAGTTCTAATTTCCCCTGCTGCCAATCACTTTGGAGATATCAAATAAGACATTTCTTTCTTTTATTTTCTAAGATGGGTATACCTGTGTATTATTGATTTTTTTTTAAGTTTTGTTTTTCATATGAGCAAGGCGGACCTTGCCTTGGCTCACCTGTTTTGCTTTATTTGGTTTCTTTTGCTCCATGTCTGGGCCACGCAGATAACCTGTTAGCCCTCCTTAATGCAATCAGGCATTAAGTATCTATTGCCCTGAGATAACCTGCCATCCATTTATCTATTTCCTCTAGTGGGTGGAAATCTCCTCCCTCTGACCTTCACAAGTTCTGTGACCTTCACCTGTACGGCATTTCTTGTAATTTATTATCATTCATGTCTTATCTAATCCATTACACTATCAGCTTATTAAAAGACTATTTTTTTTTCAGCAATCTTAAAGATAACTCTCCATATCTAAAACAAGGCCTCAAGGGCTTTTTAACTTTTGCTCCCAACATAAACTAGCCTGTGAAGATGAAAGGGAGATGCTTTTATCTAACGATGTGAAGAAAACGTGCAGGTAACAGGCCTAGATGGAGAACAGCCAAACAGGTCCAAGAGATTTCTCATGGACTCAGAATGCCTCTTCATTATATCCCTCAGCTTGTAGCTAACAATGGCGCCTCTCATTTGTTTTTGTGCTTACCGACTTTCATAGTACATGCTCAGGGGTCATTCCCCAAGCCTTGGTAAGGCAGGGAAGGTATTTTCTCCATTCTATAAATGGAGGAAAAGCATGTAAACAGTCTTCTCAGATGTCTGAGAGTGCAGAAACTTAGCTCCCATTTCTCATCGCTTTAAAATACTCATCAATGGCTGGTGTGGGCATCACCTACACTGAGACATGGACAAGCAAATATTTCTCAAAGTGTGAAAAATGAAAAGTTTGATCAAGCAGCAACACAGAAAAAGCCTCAAGGATGGTGTCTCTACTATCCTTGTTACTTCAGAGAACAACAGAAATTTCACCAATTTCTTTAAAGACCACCACCACAACTGAAAACAAAGAGCCCAACAGTCAAGACCTCAGCATCCTCAACAATTGAGCCAGAAATGGTATGTCTTATGAGACCTAAAGACATTACTTGTCAAAACAGCTCTGCCCCACAACCTCAACAAGGGTCATTTTAATGTTCAGGTTAGTACTCCCTGTTCTCCACCTCATTAATTGTGTGCAACCTCCCACACTGGAACATCTGCAGCCACAGTCAATGTTTTCCCTCTTCCCTTTCCTTGCCCCTCTCTCTGCCTGCCAGATGGAAAATGTTAACTTAATTAGCTCCCTTTCGGCACCTTCCATTTTGGTCTCCATCTGAGCCACTGTTTCTTCCTGTGCCCATTGGATGTCTTGCTCACATGAATGTCCAAAATGGCTAAAATGTACCAGGAATCTGCTGTGTACCAGGCATATGCAGTAGGCATATATATATAGTCTTAGTCTTCTCAACAACACTACTCTACGTAAATGTGCAGATCAGGAATATTAACTCAGTGACATGAAGTCACCCACCCAGGTTACATGGAAAACAGAATAGAACAAAGACAGGGAAATGACACAGCAGTGCAGGGGAGCAGCATGGTGGACGGCTTCACATCTGTTGAGTCATTATTTGAATGTGTATCAAACTTTTCAGAGAAAATGCACAGGCTAGAACATGCCCTAGAGGAAAAACTTATTTCACATAAAATTTAACTTTCCTCCAACTCTGAACTGAAAAAATGATATTGAATATGGAATCATCATCAGACTTTTAGTTTTCCTAAATGCTAATAATAAGTAAAGTTTGTCTTGTTCTTCATAATATACCAAATGTCTTAGGATATAAAGATGTTTTTGATTTTTCTAGTTATGAACTTTTGGAACTTAAAGCTTGCTCTGAAATCACATATGTATTTGAGTGATGTGTGGCTCTATCATTACTCTGACATTCCCTCTTCTTTCTAAGAATCTTTTTTTTTTTAAAGCTTTTGACTGAAATTTGATAGTTTGGAACCGAGAAAGACTGTTGATTATTGAAAATACCATCATTAGTTATTGATTGCAAGGGAATAGAAGGTAGAGCTCTTGGCTAGGTGAGAAAGTCACCAGACATAAGTACTTAATTCAAATAATCAAGTGGAGAAAGGAGACAAGCACGTAAACAATTTAACTTATGCAAACTTTACAGCTCTTCAAATACCACCTTTTCCTGCTTTGAACATTTTCTGAGGCATTAATTCCTATATGAACACAACTTTTAGCTGGTCTAGATACGGGTAACTTTCCCATTCAGGGCATTTGTGTGTAGCTTCAGGCATGGTTCTTGAAAGGTTTTTCTCTTCTTTTTCTTCTTATTTGAGTACCTACCAGAATCAAAAGGAGCAAGAAAATAAAGACAAAAAAAATTTCTCTCTCCCTGTGGCTCTACAGTCT